AAATTACTTGTATTAGCAAGAATAGTGCCAGAAATCTTCCCACTTCCCATTTACTTTTTTTCCCTTTCTTTTGTTAATAACCTATAAAGTCAGACGTATGTAAATTCTAGGGGCAGGATAATTAGTAACACATTTATCTTTTTTAAAAAGCAGGCTGTAGAAATTTATCAGAGGGGTTTCTAGAGTTTCCAGTCTTGATGTCTCACATAGAAAACACTTAAAATATTTCCTCAGGAAAGGATATTAATTTCATAGTTGAGGTACATAGGTTCACATTCTTCTTCAAGTTTCTTATGTTTGTTCCTTGAGCTGAAGGCAGAGGCTGGGTGGCTTGTATGCACAATAGACTACACAAAAAAGAGACCATCTCAGGAATTTAGATGGTTGTGTTTCTCTCTGTCAAACAATGAAGGAGCTTCTCATTTCTGCTTTAGAGGTCTTGTACTGATGACTCAGCCTCTGGTTAGGTAAGAAATAATAATCAAACTTTCATTCAAGCATTTAATTTTACTAATCTCTTTCTCAACAAAGTTAATACGTTCATTATCCAAAAGTGAGGCTGCTTTTTTTTTTCCGGGGTCATTAATATAAATAAATATATATATTAAAATAACACACAAAGAATTTGGATAGATAATTCTTCTCATAGAGAAAATATTATTGGAAACCTGAGAAATTATTCATTTTTTATTGTTTCCATTTTTATTTTTAAAGTTTTATTAGAATGGGTATTTGGTTTTGCAAATCAGTAGTTCTCAGTCAGGTATAATTTTGTCCCCTCGCTCAAAGGAGATATTTGGCAATATAGGTAGATATTTTTGATTATCACAATTAGGAGAAGGAGTGTTATTGGCATTTAGTGAGTAGAGATGAGGGATGCTGTAAAGCACAATGAGCAGGACAACTCCCACAGCAAATAATTATCTGGAACAAAATGTTAATAGTGCTGAGGTTGAAAAATCCTGTTATAAATGAATATTGCAAAAATACTTTTGAAAATATTTATGTTGCAAAGAATAGAACACATTGAATAATCACATACTATGTTAAATTATAAAAACTGTGAAAGATAACACATTAGATTCCAATATGTTCTTAACAAAGAATTATTTTATAGCAGAACATATATATTTATTAAAATAAACCACTAAAAATAAATCAGTCCCTTGTGATAGAAATATATATAGCAATTTTATCTAAGTATTAATTTTCCCATGCACATCACTTTTATAGATAATGCTTACTATGAGCATATTTAGATCTCATATCTGCATTTAAAAATAGAATGGGGTAACCCCTTTATGTTCCCTCCCACTGTGGGAGCTTTTCTGTACCCTTATTAAGTCCTGCTTTAAAAAAAATAGAATGGATTCATAGAGATGCCATAATACAAATACCAAGAAAGTAGCTGGTCTCTGGAATCACGTATCAACTCCTTTTGAGTCCAAGTATGGTTCACATGTATGCATTTCATAAATTTCATTTTTAAGTTAATTTGCCAAAATATTATTTAATTTCATCTTGAAGGAGATTTCTGTTTTATTATTATGTTGTGTTGTTGGTGCTGTTTGTTCAGAATTCTGAATGAATACAAATTGCTAAATTGCATTTCTAAACTCATAAAAGAACAGAATTAGCATTTTTGAATGTAAACCAAAGGGTACAGAAGTGTCATTGGAATGTTGTAGGAGGGATTACTGTGGGCCCTCAGTGGCAGTAGGAGAGGGACTGAGGTAGAGTACGACTGAAAGTAAGGATCTTGCTCCTTTCTTATGTATCTCCTCAGACAGGGCCATCTCTCAAAACTATTAGCCATTGTTTCTGACTTCCTTGTTTAAATATTTAGTTATATACAGTTCTTCTTCATGAAGTTCTTCTCTTCCCTTTAACCCCCTCCTATTTCTTATCATGTATTTTTCTCAACTAGATAATAAATATGAGTAGACTGGAGCTAATTTTTTGTTGTAATTTTCCTCTGCTTTTTCATCCTTACACTCTGGTGATTCTCCCATTTCAGCTCTATCTCTCACAAAATGTTCTGCACTCTCAATGTGCAGATCTCTGCACTCTCCCAAGCCCAGTGGATTTATTTATTTATTATGGAGTAATCTTTTGTTAGAATAGTATCCAATAAAACAAGAACACATTTCTATTGAAAGCTTGTATCTTAGAAATAAACTTCTCCAATTATTTGACTTCGAATTTCCCACAACATTACTTATGTCCACTAACACAAGACGCATAGATATTTTAGTTGTTCTTAAATTTCCATACAATAAGCTCTGCTATTTCTGGTACCAAGAAATCAAGACAGAAATGCAATGTAAAGGCACCGGATATAGAAATGACATAGAACCACTGCCAAATGGTTCAATATTAAATTTTATTCAATTATTTCTGTAATACAGAGACACTCAGGTCTTGAGGGATATGCTGAGAGGACTTGGTAACATTGGTGTTTTCTTCCTGGAGCATGTATCTTGTTTCTTCTGTCATCCTTACTTCCGCAAGCAGCAACGAGTACCGGGTCTTATGCAGTAAGCAATCCTAACTTCATATTCACGACACACAGTTCTACACCGGCCATTAGCTTTATAGCACTCTGTGCTCAAGTCCAAGCTACCGTACTCAGGATATCTCTTTTTGGCTGTAAGAAGGAAAGAATGACTGAAATTAGCAATCTAGCTATGGCACATCTATGCTTTAAAAGGAGAACATTTAAGAGGCAAAAGATCATAGAATGAAAATCTTCACTTACCCAAGAAAGTTTTAGTGAATTTTCTGTTCCTTCGTGGAAGGTACATCCTAGAAATAGAAAAATGTCTTGGACCTAATTTAGATGTTTCAATTTACTGCCTTACAAGCGACCGGACGGTGACCCAAGGAAGGCACCCAAAGACAACAGTAAAAAAGTGATCATAATTTATATTCTGCCAGGCTCCATCTCTACAATTGTCTAATTGCATTTGAGTTGCCCATTTTCTACTCTCACAAACATTATTTAGATTGAATAATGTTGATGTGTTTTATGACTCTTCAAAGAATTTCTACTGCAGCTTGATTTTACTTCTCCACAATTTTGAGAGCTAGGCAATGCTGGGCAATTTGTCTAAATTTCCATAACTTTTCTGAATATTTGGAAATTTATTTCCATAAATAAATGATATAATTCAGACATCGGTTTAATAACACCATTCATTTTTTTAAAATGAGAGCAACCAGAGGATGCAGCCATTGTTGTATATTATATGATTTCTAAAGTTACCACTGCTATTTTTTTCTTCTTTTACCACAAAGTATCTGAAATAGTAACTTAAAAATAATTTTCCTCAATTATTGTTTATGCCATTAGTCTCTTGATTAGGAATAAGCTATGGTTGGGAGCCAAATACAACCTGACACCTGTTTTTATAAATAGTTTTATTAACATATAACCATGCCCATTTGCTAACACATTGCTTACAACTTCTTTTGCATTAAAACAACTCAGTAGAGATCATAGGGATCATAAAATCTATAATATGTATTGTTTGTTGTATTCCTAGAAGTTTGTTAATTCCTGCTCCTGATTCTTTTTCTCATTAATCATGAAAGACTAAATGAGAAATTAGTAGCTGGGGGTCACAGAACATGGTGATAGGCTTTCATATGGAAGACATTTGTCTTTTTCACAGCCAGAAGAGCTAAACTACAACTAAAATTTGCACATTATAAGAAATACAAAATTTGACATAATACAAAAATTACTTTGTAGCAGTAAAAACTGTAAGAAAAAGTATATGCTTTTTTTGTAGCTTGGAAAAGGACTCTCAATAGAATTTTATTATTTAGGAGAATTGAATATACTTAGGGGTGGGACTGGGGACATTGCTCTTATAGGCTATGATCTATGCAAAGTCAAATATTTTTTGATATTATATTTTAAATTGCATGCTGGCCCATGTGTTTTCAGAAGTCTTTTGGTTCAGAGTATTTTTAAATGTACATATCATTTCCTATAATTTATCACAGTATTCATATGATAAGATTGAGGAAAACTGGTGTGGGAGAATTCTGTTTTACAAATAGCTGATAAAAGGGAAACTCAATTTTTTTTCTATGATAGTAAATAAATTTTGCCACTATTTCTTGCCATTAATAAGGATTGGTTTGGTGACCCAATAAGTTGGTTTTGAAGGCCAGGCTTTTCTGCCTAAACATTCTGTCAGCCTTTCCAGCAGCTGAGAAGTGATGGTGCATAGTAATCCCTATTAGTAAATACATCGACTCAGAACTACATTACCAGTGTCATTGGTAAAAATAGTGGATATATTTTTTATATATATAAATATATGTATATACATTTATTAATATTAGCTTTTTTCTCGCTATAACAGAAGTGGTGCATAATACGATGCAACATAAACAAAGTATAGAGAAAATATAGTTAATCTACACAGTTTAAATTTTCAATTCTAAATATCATTACTTATTCTACATATTCTGAGGAGTTATTATCAAATATATATGTGATTTGTCAGTGAAAGAAACCTGAATTATACTCACTTTTGACACAAGTTCTTTCCCATTTGACACATTTCTCCAATGTTCCATCTTGAATTGACCTCACCCCATCTATTATTTGTTGTTTTTTTGTCTTTATTTCACCTTTCTAAAACATTATTGTCTTTTTTTTCGTCCTGACCTTTACATGTATTCCTAAACTTATGATTTGGATTGTTGATATTCAGCTTTGCAACAATCTATCCATCAATTCAACTAGTGTCTGCTAAGCATACTTCTTATCAAACTCTATGCCAGGACTGAGGGCAGGATTTCTCATGCTGAGTAATATTGACCTTTTGGGTTAGACATTTTTTCCCTGGGGAAACTGTCTAAAATATCACCTGACATTTTGTGTAATGTTTTAATATTTATGTTATTATCCTACTTTTAACAAGAAACATCTGACATCTTTTTAAATTCATTAGTACAAACCCCCATTAATATTTGCATATTACCTGGTAAAACTGTGACCCAAAATAGTAGAATAAAGAAAAAAAGATGAATCTTCATAGCAGAGTATTTCTTATTAAAAAAATGTCAGCAGATCTTCTTTTTAAGTCAGCTGTTTTGAAATAAGGAAACAGAGATCCCTTTTATTTATAGGCTCTCCTGGGAAGTACTTTTAACTACTCAGGCTTATCAAGAACAAGAACATTTGTATGCTTGGTTGAACAGTGCCACACTCCAAGAATGTAGTCTCATAAAGTAATATTGAATTTTTCTTATACAAGTATTTATTTATAATAGATATGTGTTTGGATTGTTACAACATCAAGGTGAAATGTTACAATGATCTGATCCTTTATTATATGTTATAGGTAGTACTAAATATGCGAATGCTCTACTATTAAATTGTTGAATGCCTGAATCATATGATTTTATAGCTAAAAGTCTTCGCTGAGGTCACTCTCATTTTGCAGATCAAATTATGAGAACCAAGGAGATTAGGTTTTTTTTTTTTTTGAGTTGGAGTCTCACTCCTTGGCCCAGGCTGGAGTGCAGTGGCACGCACGCTCACGGTCACCTCAACGTCAACTACAGACAGTGCTACCATGCCTGAATATTTTTTACTTTATTGTAGAGATGCAGTCTCGGACCCGCGGGTTCAGACAAACCACTCACCTTGGCTCCCAAAGTGCTGGGATTACAGGCTGAGCCACCGAGCCCAGCCTAGATTAGGTAATTTTATTTCAATCAATAAAATATACAATTATTTAAATGATTAGTTAATTCTGGATTCACCAATGAGTATGGGAAATATTCTGCACAATATGTCTTTTTATCATGATTTGTAAATTTCTTATATTAAAACATCTAATGGCACGATTCTAAGACCAATATTTTAAATTTTGCTTATGGAACTGGGAGTTCCATATCTGATCAAATTACATACTTTTAAAGTCTGCTATTTCAGATACATGAAGAAGAGGTGGAAGTTTTGCCCAGTACCCACAGACTGATGCTGTAAAACAAAACAAAAAACTAATCAAATCTCTCCTACCACAGAGTTAAGAGAATCTCTATGACAGTGATTCCTTAAACTTTATCCATATCAGAATCCTTCAAAGGGTTTGTTAAAATCAGATTACAGGGCTCCACTCCCAGCATTTCTAGCTTAGTAGGTTTGAAATGGGCACTAAAATTTGCTTTCCTAACAAGATCTTGGAATGCTAATGGTGCTGAAGGGGGCGCATATTTACTCTACGAAACCTGACTCACTCACTCTACAAAATGTAAGAAAAGTGAATGACAAAGTTATAGAGTCACTGGCATAATAAATACATAATTAACTAGATTAATTTATTAATAAGAATAATTTGAGACTGCTTAGAGATTCTAATAAAAAACATTCATATTATTGGTAAAAAAATAAAATCAAGAGAGATGAACTTGATCGTCAAACAATTGTTATCTGTTATAACTAATGCCTCATATTATAAAATGCAAATGGAAACTTTGGAATTAAATTAAATGTGAAGATATTGATTTATCTATATTTTCTTTCTGGGAAAGAAAAAAAAGTTGAGAATACAGCACAGCTAATAAAAGACAATCCCTTCAATATATCACCATGTATCATTAGAGAATAAAAGTTCAAAATTTCGTTATTGATTTCTAATTTATTCCATTGTAGTCAGAGAACACACTGAATACTGAGAAGGTACTCCTACTAATGGCAAATAATCTACTGGCATAAGTTTAAAAAGGGGGAAAATTAGATCTTTAACAGAGTCATTTATTCCTTACTAATTAGTTATGTTAAAAGTATGAAAAAAATTGCATGCAAATCTTAATCAATAGAAATTGGAGTGACAATAGCAATATAAGAGAAAAAACTTTAATACAAAATTTTTCTTAAAAACAGAGAAGATCATTGTATTCTGGTAAAATGTTCAATCCATCAAGAAGATATAGTAATTATAAATATTCAAATACCTAATTTAGGAGTTATAAAACGCATAAAGCAAAACACACAGAAAAGAGAAAAATAAACAATAAAAATAGTTGAAGAAAATAAATAATATCCTGTTTTTAATAATAGTTACAACAATTAGGTCAGCAATAAACAGAAAAATTGGGCAACACTATAAACAAACTAAGCCTGCAGACACCTGTAGTATTGCCCATCAAAAGCAAAATACACATTTTTCTCAAGTGAATATAAAACATTCAGATTCATACAATGGAATATTGTTCAGCCATGAAAAGGAACAAAGCACTGAAACAAAGTACAGCATAGATGAATCTTGAAAGCATTATGAAAAATGAATTAAATCATACAAAAGGCCATATATTGTCTGAAATTATTTATATGAAATAGCCTCAAAGGTGAAATTCATATAAACAGAAAGTAGATTCATGGTTTCCAGAAATTGATGGGAGGAGAAATTTGACAGTGACTACCAAGATGAGGTTTATTTTGGAGTGATGGAAATGTTTTGGAATTACATAGTGATGATGTTAGCGTAACACAGTTAATTTATTGAAATCTACTGAATTGTATAATTTAAAATAGTTACATGAATTATATCAGAATTGTAAAGGAAGAATAAGCATCCTGAAAAAAAAAAAACACTATTCTCCGAAGGAATGAGTATATAAAGACCTAGTATATCTATGCGCCTTGCTTTTGTAACACATGGCAGTAGTAAAACTCTTTCTCTAAGGGCTGCTGCTTCAAAGAATGACTGACATTTTATAAACTAAGTACTGAACTTGGCAGAAGAATTTTCAAAAATAATATAATTTATACTACTAGTCTTAGGCAACTTTTTGATAAAGGCCAAAATCCAAAGAGAACTTAGACATTGCTCCCAATTATATGAAAAGATTGCTGCTTCACCAGTGAAGTTGACATGTTCTACTGTATCACTCTCCAGTCACACCTTATTTAGGTAATTAGCATGGGTTTTAATGTCAGTTGGTTATAAGTAATAATTCTTAAAAGTATCAATTGTTGAATGTTTACTCTGAACCAGATGGTATAGTAATTACATATGCTATCTCTTCTAAAATTTAAAACAACCTTTATAAAGTGGTATCATTTTCTCCCCTCACAGATTAAGAAACAAAAAAGGCATAGATAACTTTCTCAATGTTATATAGAAATAGAGATGGAAATCACTAGACTTTGAACAAATGACTTCTTTTTTATATATTTGTTATCTGATCTGTAATATAAATGAAGTCATTGTCCTAGATAATTTATTTTCAAATATTAAAAACTACAGTGTTCAGGGAAGCAACTCAGCAGTACCCTTGGGCACTGAGGAGAGATACAAAGTAAAAATAATTAGAAATTCTATGAGGGACTATGTAGCTTTTCAAAATCTATAAATTCTCACCATTTTTTTTCTGTAAAAGCCTGACTTTATATTCACAATTATGCAGCTTTATGGATGGACACAATATTCTTGGAACACAAACTGTGGTACAGGAGACCCTTAAAGTCTATCTGCTTCATAGGAAGTTCAGTAAGATCAAGAAACTTCTTTTTATTCTCAATATATTATTTAATCAAATTAGGAGCCAAAAAGTCTAAAATGTCATCATTGCCCTTGCATTGTGAGAAAGACAACCTCTTGGTCTTCCTGCAAAGATTCTGTATGTGTACACACACACACACACACACACACACACACACACACACACACACACACACACTATGGTTTTATTTATGTTACATATGTATGTGTACATATATGTTTATATATGTACATGTATATATGTATATTGTATATGTTTATATACAATATACATATTATATAGTCATAGTAAAGTTTATATATATGGATATATATATATATGCTTGAATATATATATAGAGAGAGAGAGAGCTTGAATATATATATATGTATATATATATATATATATATGCATGTATATATCTCCAAGTAGAGCTTGAATGATGAGGCAAATTTAAAGAATCTGGGGACAGGCTTTGGTAGGTGAGCAAATGGAAGAAAGCAAGAAGTCACAGAACGAGTGTGTGTTTTCTTAGATGCATGTTATTGTAGAACTCCTGGGCCCTGAGTTTATGAAGCCTAATACCATGTTACCACAGGGAGAAGCCATTGTCTCCATAGACCAATTAGAAGTTATAAAAATGTAGCAACTTGTTCTTACATTTATTTCTATTTCCTATAGTTCGTGGAATGTAGTAAAACTTCAATAAAAATATTTTTAAATATTAGATTAACTCTTTCAAATGTTCTCATAAACATAATTGACACAGTGGGTTTTTTTAACTTTAGTAAGTTTTTAAAAATTATCTTTGTTTTGATAATCTTATTTCATTAAGATAAATATTAGAATTAAGAAGGTTCATGTTTTGTTATTAAAAGTAATAACTAATTCTATAATTTTGGTCAATTCTTGAGGATTGCCATGTTCACAATATTTTTATATCATTCATTGGTTCTTTCTTTACTGTGTTCAAGAATATCAGTCACAGAATTTTAATAAATTTTTAAAAGTTTTGCTGAATATTTATGAGAACTTATTGCAGAAATTATCATGCATTTCTTATATTATATAGTTTACCCTGAAATAAAGTTTGGCAACTAGGCTAAGGCCTCTAACAACGTAAATTCTGCTGCCTGCCAGTCTACCCTCTACATCCCTTGCTGCAGTCTGAAGCACACTACTTACTGGTTCCTGAAAATTCATTGTCTTTTTTTTATATTTCTTTGCTCTAGTAGATCCTTGTTTCCTCAGAGTTTTCTCTATCAAAGAACCACACTCACCATCAGTAGCGCTTAAACATAAATAGCCCTTTACATGGGAAATTGTTCTTTTTTAATTTTTTAGAATGTGGGGTACAATTCAGGGCCAGGTATACAAATGGTCATTATGCTACCCTTGTTGATGAGGTGTGCCCCTTCCCTCCCCTGGCAGTTTCCAACTATAGTCAATTCCTTTCTTATAGTATTATGATAATTGCTCAAGGTCCACTCATGAGTGACAACATGTGGTACTCAGTTCATCATTTCAGTAATAGATCACTCAGTATTATAGACTCTAAGTCCATAATTTGCTGCAAAGTTCATGATTTT